AGACCACAACAACGTGCGGCAAACGCGTCGCTGCTCGGCTCCCCCCCCCCCCCCCCGGAGTGACGAGATAGGCCCGTGTGCAGGAGCTCGATGATGTATGTGTGTAGACGCTGAACTTCTTTTTCGCGCCGTACGTAGCCAACCGCGCTAATTATCGGTGGTGCGGTCCCTGAACCGTAACCTTGGAACAAATGATTTGGTGAAACTGAGAATCGAACCCAGGATTTCGGCAGAGTCGGCTCGGTGCTCTGAGCCCAGAGCTACCCAGCCACCACATTCGCCAACAACATTGTGGTCGTTAAAAAAAAACACTATAAAATAAAAAAAATTATAATAGGTAACGTTTCGGGCAATAGCCCTTAATCACAGCAGAGAACGAGGCCTCTCGTTCTCTCTCTGGTCTCTCAAGGTGCTGCGAAGAAGGACAATGGCCCAAAACGTCGCCTATTATGAAAAAATAAAACACATTCCTGTGGAGGGAGCTAGTAGGAACGTTGGGTTGCTCGGTAAATGGCCAGGGTCAACGGCGGCGTGGTGTATTCCGCAAATATGCCCGACTGTGAGAGCGGGCACAAGCCGGCGTGAGTAGGTTAAACGTTGAGTTTTATAAGGGCACCACGGGGTGACCAGCCCATCCCCACCCAGCCCCACCCCTCCCACCTCCCACCCAGCCCCACCCTCTCCACCCAGCCCCTCCCCACCCAGCCCTTCCCCACCCTCCCCTCTCCACCCAGCCCCACCCCTCCCATTTTTGGATGCACGACGGACGGACACAATAATTCCCTGTGGGCTGGTGGAACCAAGAGGTTCCTACCAGTATCATCGTTTTTTTCTAAGGCAGTGCTGTGGACGAATGTGTCCAGTTCTTGACCATGGGAGATGCGCTCGTGTTTAAAATCGACGCTTTGTGCGCGTCACAATCGAGTGCGCTTGGCTACGTCGGGTGGTCTGGAGGGGCCTTGTGGCGGCAGTTTGTTTGGCCACATCGCTCGGTGGCCCCGAATCCCCCCCCCCCCCCCCACAAATAAACTCCCGTGTGCGAACACCGACTGGGACGTGTTCAGTTAAGGAAAGACGGTTGAGAGACTTTCCCGTTGACTTTGTGAAGAGGGCCTATCTTTAGGCGCCACTGTCGCCTGGAACGCAGCTTTAACTCCATGCCGAGGGCGCACGCTGCTGTGTATAACGAGAGCGGTATAGACAATGGCGGAGCCAGGATTACAGGTAGGAGGGGGGCAACCCCTCCAGCAATGACAAATGATAGAGGCGTTGTTAGTAAGTAAGGACTTGTCCCTTGATTTTTATTTGACGCGTGTGCGGCGATGGGGCAGCCATCGATCGAGGGTCGAATTCGAACCGCGTTGTGTGATCGGCATCGCGCTCGCTGAAGGTGTTGATGCCTTCAGGGAAGTCGTGTACTATATACGCAACTGCGCACAATTCTGAGTCACTTATAACCACTTTGCCGTTACTTATTGCCAATTATGGAATCAGACTATTGTCCTATCATCTCATAGAGTCCCTGGCACGTAATCATATGCTACACAGTGACAGCGGGGGTCGCAACATGCCAAATGATTACTCATAAACCTCAATGATCCGATTGAAATGAGAGATTTCGATCGGATCATTGGGGGGGGGGGGGGGGGCACGTGCCCCGCCTCCTCCACTGGCTCCGCCAGTGGGTATAGACATCGGGCGCGGTAAAATTGAGTAAGCGCCATGGGTTTCGCCGGTTCTGGCGTTAAACAAGCAACAACAAAAGGTACCCGTACAACGAAGGCTTGAACAGAGCGGAGGAGAGACGCTGCGAGAGAAGCAGGGCTTTGAGCACGGAGGTGGCGGGGAAGGTGGGACGATGGGGCGATGGTGGAGGTGGCCCCGGGTCGTTTTTTTTGCAACGCGGTGCGATTAGGCCCTCGCCCATCTCCCTTTGGAGAAAAAAAATTGGGAATGAAAGCACCGCCACCACGGCACACTATTTCAACGGCCACTTTGTTTGAACTCGCGGCGCGGTTTGGGCAAATGAATAAATAAAAGCCGGGTGCGTGCAGCAGGTAAATCTGCCGCCGCTTTAATTGCGAAGCTTCCGCGCTTGCAGGAAACCTGCCGTCGCTCGGCACGAAAAGGAGGCTCATCAATTAAGAGGGGCCCCGGCACAGCTGACAAAGGGCTCCCTTAACTGGTGATGCTTTGCAGGGCATAACCCCTGCGAATGAATCGCATTCCGAGCTAAAAAAAAAATCCCCCCCCCCCCAAAAAAAAAGCTACTCCGGGGTAAGAAGAAGAAGGAGGGAAAAAAAAGTGATCCGTCTTAGCGGGTGGGGGGGGAAATAAAAAAACTAATTTCGTTAAAATAAATCCTTAGCGGTTTGCCGGTGACGTCGGGCAATTTGTACGTGCTCTCGTCGCCGCTTGCAGGCTCGCCTTTTTAATTGCAAAATTTTGATTTTAATTTTTTTAATAAAAAAAAAATTCAACTGCATCTTATTTTTTAGCCCCTCTCCCCTCCCCTTTCCCACCCCGACTACTTTTTTTTTAGTTAATACTTCAGACAAATTACAGGAAGGCAGAAATGCGAGCCGGCGGGTGTAATGGGTGCAGCGATGCCACATTCTCTGCCTCTACACCGCGGTATCTGTTTCACTTAATTAAAGTGAACACACTTGTCAACTGTTGAACTCTACACCAGCCCCCCCCCCGCAACACGTACGCTCGATAAATCATGGCCACTCGTTGGCAAACTCGTTTGTTTTCTGCACCTGGGCCGGAGAAAAATGTTGTGAGCGAGAGGCCAATTCGCAGCCGTAACGTCAGCGACAATCGAAAGGAGAGAGAAAAAAAACCCGCCATGGCAGCCGAGGGGGGCTCCAACGAACCTTTTAATTATTTCGCGTGGAGATTTCAACTTAAAAAAAATTGGCGTTTTCGTTTTAATGATTATTATTTTTAACACAACATCTGTTCGGTCATTACCGTTATTGCGATTGTTTTTGTCGTTTTGATGCAAAACATAATGTCGATACTTTTTTTTTTCGGGGTGAAGGGGGGGTGTGTGTAGGCTGTGGTGGTGGGGGGGGGTTAGTTTCGTAAACTTTGTTAATAAGCTCACTTAGGAGTTGAAGCGACTCTCTTGGCGATGCGTTTCAGGCGCGTTCTGGCAACTTGGAATATCGTCGGTGGACAACGAATTCAGCTTCGCTGTCTCATGCGTTTCTCTGCAGTCAAACGACGGTGTCAGGCAATCCCAGATGCCGCACGCAAACGCACTGCGTCCAAGCGACTTAGCCAAACTTTTCTCCGGGAATAATTTCGCCGCTGAGTTTTCTATCCCCCACACCCACTCTTCCGTTGTGTCCGCTCGTGTCGTTCCACGTGCCGGGAGATATGAGTTCCCGATAGAAATTCGCGGCACGTGGGGCTAAAACGTCGGACATCGTTGCCGGACAACTGCGCGGCACAACTGGGCGCATCGGAGAGCTGCAGGCCAACATCGGTGTCTTTCCTTACATTTATGGGGGTTAAATTTCGATTTAAAACTTTCGTGACTGCAGGGATTCATCTTCTTGTTTCTTTTGGTAAAGTCACGTAGAATGGAAATAATAAAATAATAAAAATAAAACATAATAAAATAATTCTCACGACGTTTCGGCCACAACGCAATCAGCCGTCCTCAGGTGAAGAACAAGTCTGTCGAGAAGACAGAGTCTGAATGAGAAGCCTGGAGTGTGTCATTCAGACTCTGTCTTCTCGACAGACCTGTTCTTCACCTGAGGACGGCTGCTTGCGTTGTGGCCGAAGCATCGTGAGAATTATTTTATTACGTTTTATTTTTATTATTTTATTATTTCCATTCTACGTGACTTTACCGAAAGAACCAAGAATATTTATGGGGGTGTTTAATGAGAACCCTCTTTAATGCAATCATAATAACACGGAGCGCGATGCGATTCGAGACCGTGTTTTATTGCTCGTTCTGACGCACGCCACTGGGACGACACGAAATGTTTGTTTGATCGCGCGACGATTTAGAGTTGCACTGTTGTTGAAGCCGAACCAAAACAAGTCGCAAATATCACGAGCCCCTGTGCTGACGGCGAGCAGTCATAACAGTGCGGATCCTTGTGTACGCGTGTGTGTGTGTGTGTGCGCACGTGCGTACGTGTTTTTGCGTGTGCACGGTGGTGCAGTGGTTAGCCCACTGGGCGACGAACCCGGCGTCCCGGGTTTGATTCCCGCTCATGGCCGCCAACATCTGTGCCCTCCCTAGGTCGACTCGACCTCAAATGAGTCCTTGGTGCAGTGCGTAAACATCAGCATTGTGGAGATTAAGGCGGCCGGGCTTGGTGCCGGCCACCCCACTACAATTCTGTGCCGTTCCGGCCTTCATATGTGCTCGTTAACGGTACTTGCCCCAGCAGTCTGTCAAAAGGCTATGCTGGGGGACATTTGTGTTTATGTGTCCGCGTGGCCTGCCCTTAGAGTAGAACAAACACTGTGGCTTTTTGTTTCAAGTTGGGTCGTGCAGTTCGAATTCCAGGGCCAGATGCTCGGCTAAACAGGCGTCTCTTTCCGTGGGAGTCTCTCCAATGGAATTACGTTTTAGGTCCGTAACGTCATCTGTTGGTTCAAACAACAACAAAAGCTTCAATTGAGAAAAAGGCACGGGTGGAAATTGTATTCATGCCCCCCAAGAGTGGAATTGTCGCGATTCGGAGCCCGCAATTTTGTTTCAAGAATCCGTTGTGTCGTCTAATTTTAACCGTTTCGGATAGCTACCGACTTAGTGCTGCGTGGAAGCGAATCATGAAATAATACATTGTTTAAATACACGCCTATGCAGGCCACCATACCTCAATAGGGATTACCGTTGGTACGGCTATTTTAATACACACAATGGACAGTAAGGACAAGATCAAAGGGCTCGCATAATGCGCATGCATAATTTACATTGGCTCATTAATCCCCCCCCCCCTACACTTTACGCAAGAACACACAAGTGTGGTCACCACATCTACGCCTCTATTTAAGGAACGAAACAGGTGGACTTCAACAAATCTGGCTGTCGCCTGATGAAGCTAGTTGTAATTACTGGCGAAACGTCGTACTCAGATTGTAAATGTTGTGGCTTGGCTCTCCAACACACCGGTGATGCTGTACTAGTGACGAATTGGCACGTTCTGTTTACGTGACTACCCTTACTAGTTGGCTGTGTCGGGTGGTGGCGGGTTTTAACGACACATTTTTATTTACGCGATCTAACCCAAAACAACCTCTTATGGATGATAAGTGTATGTTAATAGCTTCAAAAGTCAACGAGTCTTCACTCGTTCGCCATCGTTGTCAACGCGTGCCTGGAATCTTCTCCAGGTGGTCTCCTAAGCCCGGAGGCAGACTTCTTGTGGTATTGTTGCAAATTGTCAGAAGCGTTAACATCTTTTTGAAGCACCCGATATTACAACAACAAAGAATGATACTCTTTGGTTCTTTCGGTAAAGTCACGTGAGTATAAAATAACATCACTAGCCCCGGCCACTTCTTTATGACCATTGGGCTACACCCATTTAAAACCTTTTAGAACAGTCTGCTTCAGCAACAGACCGTGCTTTCCCACCTGATGACGGACGCTTGTGTTGCGCCCGAAAGGTGATTTATTTTATTTTCTACCTACGTGACTTTACCGAAAAAAACAAATGGTATGGATTCCTGCAGTCACGAAAGCTTCAAATCAACAAAGAATGAATATTCACCACTGGTGCATCGTGCCATCCCTCCTTTTTGCCACCCGCCAACGTTTCGCTGCTCTGCCCACGACAAGGTGTGAAAGTGTCTGTTTAAGTACAACATCAGGAATTGTCACTCGATTAGCTTGGAAATCTCTAAGGCGGCAGTGGAAGGCGTGCATCACGTGTACGTGCCTACAATGGAGCTGGCCACAACAGACGTGTGAATGGGCACACAATGTGTTCATTCGGTCACCGTAATGGTCGCAATTTAAAGCTTCCAGAGATAATTGCTCAATCATCGCGGGCCGTTTACTGTGCGTGTTCGCGTGCAGCGCGTTCAAACAAATTCCCTTTATCGGGCTTCGCCGCATTTTATATGCACGTTGTGACGGACAGCTAAACCTCACTCTACACAATTCTATTTACGAAAGCGAGCATGTGTTTGTTGAGTATTCGTGCAATCTAATTAGTGAAGATCCCTTTAATTTCAGGTGCTGTATGCACGTAAATAAATGTCATAATCTCGAGATGACATATTGGCTTTTAATACGTTTCTCTGAAACAGCGTCAATAATAATGTATACAGGGAACTTGTGATAGGTGTGCCTCTTGTGTTTCCAACTTGTCATGAGTTGACTGGTCATTGCTTGCCCAATCTGCCACTTATGGCAACAGACAAAGCCAATCAACGACACTTACTGCAGAGTTCACGAGATTCATTTGATGCTACTGTTGCGTCCACATTTGAGACACGTTTTATCATGATGATTTTTTTTTTATTACGAATTTGTTTTACGCAAATTCCCACGCGGTCTCGCGCATGCCCCCGCCAGGGCTGCATTTCTCGCTCAATATTTCCCAGGTCGCTGGTTGGACTGACGATAGAAGGGGGCACGTGGTGTGGCAGCCACAGCGTTTGACGAGAGAGGGTTGGCTTCTCTGTTAACGGCAGTTGCTGAGCGCAAAGGGGCCCAGAACGCCACCGCGGCCAGCGACAAACAGCACTGTTGCAGGTGTGACAAATAGGAGCTGATGCGTCATTCGTTGACTTGAGCGAGCCTAAATTTCGATTTAAAGCTTTCGTGACTGCAGGGATTCATCTTCTTGGTTCTTTCGGTAAAGTCACGTAGAAGGGAAATAATAAAATAATAAAAATAAAACATTATAAAATCATTCTCACGACGTTTCGGCCACAACGCAAGCAGCCGTCCTCAGGTGAAGAACAGGTCTGAAACGAAACCCCTGGGTCCCCCCTGCCTGGAATGATTTGTGTCCTCCTGAGCGAGTCTCAACCAAATGTGAGCAAATACCTTGCTGGCGAAGCCTGATTGCAAGAGGCTGGTCTCTGGTTTGACGGCGTTTTTAATCACACGGAGTAGCAGTAATAACAACAACTTGCTATAGCGCGCCATAACACGGGCCGAGTCTCGTTCGAAGGGCGCCGAACAGAACGACGTGAACATGAAACATTCGTCGCGAGTTCGTCACAAAGAGGCGGCTGCATCGCTTGCGCGCTAGCGACGAGGCGAGTGGAGTTTTTTTTGGAGCGAGTGTTTGAATGAGGTCAGGGACTCACCAACTCGGACTGCTCCACCCACGTGGGCTGTGGTCACCACTAAGTGGTGGTGACCACCACGGCGCTTGTGCCAGGCTATGTGCACTTTAAGGCCGCGTAAAAGTGTCGAAGGCTCGCTGGCAGGTCACGGGACAGACCCAGGTGCCATGGGTTGGCTGACCGAGATGACTGGCCAGATGCAGACCTGTGCCCCCTAATTGAAATCCCCACACATGCACATGGACGTTACACTGTGGTTTAGATCACTACTAAACAGCGCAACAAACGGGACTTGAAGAGTTTCTGCTGTGTGCTAAGAGTGACCAACATCCGTGGTGGTGCACAACTTACGTGCTCTTGAGAAGGGCCATTACCCGAAACGTCGCCTATTATAGATATTTTTTCTTTTCTTTTTTAACATGGCCACGTTGTTGTTCACGAATGTGGTGGCCGGGTGGCTCGGAGATTAGAGCCCAGAGCCCACTCCTTTTAGATGCTGGGTTCGAATTCTCGGTTGCAGCTGCCTGCGATTTAAACAGCGTTCTCAAGCGCAGAGAGCCGACGGGGTCAGGCTTTACCACTCGTCACCGGATGCAAACAAAGCATAATAATTTGTCTATAGATTAATGTTCATCTGCATTTGGCTAAACTCCAGCGTGAAGAATTAAACTGTCATCGCCACGAACAGTCTCTGCAAGCAGCGCAGATTAATTACGAGATCACTGCTTCTCAGAAGCGTTTCTGTGACATAAAACACACGGGGTGATGCAGTGCTGGCTATGAGAGACCCAAATGGACAGTGTGTCTCGTGGCGTGGCACCCATTGCACAAACATTGGGCAGAGAACAACAGCAATTGAAATAAATGCGTGTCTTTGGATAAAAGGTAATGGTGTACTTCTTGCATCAGTGTTCGAGCTAGTGCAAGGTCTCTCTCTCTCTTCGGGCTGTTACCACGTGTTGTTGTTCGGCATGAGGTCCCACGATTCTCTCCGCAAGCTGGGAGATGCAGTTCCTGAAGAAGCTTACAGGACATGGAGCGAAACGTCAGACCTCATCCCAAACAACACGCGGTACGAACCGAAACACTTAAGAGCGCAATACGGCACAACCTCGAAAACGTACGCAGGAGCACAAGATCACACATCGCCCAAAGCATGCATTGCTTTTCATTCGTGTTTGTCCCCTTGCTCAATTTTATTCCGTATGAATGCGACGGGTATCATGTCATCTCGTGGGACGAAGCATCCATTTGGAACACCCCTCGTGAGCGGCATATTACCCCCCCCCCCCCCCACACCACGTGTTGCGTCTGGAATTTGATAGAACGAGCTGCCGGACAGAAGATCTCGTAGAGCCACTTCTGCACAGCACGCGGCGCGACGGACGACCTCGAAACACCGTCGGGGAAGAGCTGTCAACGCTGCGCTCTGGTGGGAGAAGCCTCGTGCTCACTGGTGGCAGTCTCTGTGAGTGTAGCCCGGCCCCGCGATGCCTCCGTACGGACGCTGCAGGTGCGGCCCGTTCCCCCGGCTGGGGATGTTGTACGCGTGGTGGAAGACGCCGACGCCCCGTGGCCCGCCCGGGGCCTCAGCCGTCCCGGCAGCGCGGGGGGCCGCACGGACGCGGCCGGCGCCTTCCAAGGGCACCTTCACCGACAGGTCCGGGGCCTGCAGGGAGCGGAGTGAGAGGGAACGCCGGGGTTGAGATCACGACGAGGGACCGCACCCCGTGCTGTAGGATGTGTTCGCGGGTTGTCCTGTGCGCCTCTCCGATTCGTCGGGTGCCGCGGTGGCGAGATGTTAACTCTCTCGCCTGGTGTACAGGAGGTCGTGGGTTTGAACTCAATCCTGACGCCTGTATGTTTGGAGTTTGCGTGTTCTCCCTGTGGTCACGTGGATTTTTCTCCAGGTCCTTCGGTTTTTCCCTCCGCATTTAGAATCAATATCACGCGTTTATAGCATTTGGCTGCGATACATTTCCACGTGATAAGCCACTTCGTTGAGCTATCATTTGGATTACGTGGTGTGCCTTCTGCTCTCGTGGACATTAATTCCAGGTTGACGACCAATACAGACCCGGCTGAAACTAAACCCCTGGGTCCCTGCCTGGTTGAAATAACGAATAGTTTCGTTGAATTGTCGAGTTGTGATCGCGTGGTTGTTCGGACATCGTTTGCCGAGGAACCACGCACGTGGCACAGACCTGGAAGCACATCGGAGAGCTGCGAGGAATTGCCGTGTTGTTCCCAAAAAATGTCATCGCCGTTATGCGACTGGTGTCGCGTGTGAGACAGCGAAAGGGGGCCGCCTTTTTCCCACAAAAAGTGTATTGGAGTTGAGCTCTCGGGCGCCGCATCGCGCGGTTGCTATGAGCTGAAGTGGCCGCTAAGATGGGTCTCGTAGCTCGGAGTGGCTGTGGAAATGTCACAGCATCACTGCTGAGATTCCTTCCACCAGAGGGCACTTTTTCCCCATGTGGCCTGTCACAGACGCCTCGCAGCAGTCCACAGTTATTGTTTCATATTGTTAGGAACCACCTGGTTCCACCAGCCCACATGGGATTATTGTGTCCGTCCGTCCCTCGTGCATCCAAAAATGGGAGGGGTGGGGCTGGGTGGAGAGGGGAGGGTGGGAGGGGCTGGGTGGGGAGGGTGGGGAGGGGCTGGGTGGGGAGGGGAGGGTGGGGAGGGGCTGGGTGGGGAGGGTGGGGAGGGGCTGGGTGGGGGGTGGGGCTGGGTGAGGGGTGGAAGGGGTGGGGCTGGGTGGGGAGGGGAGGGGCTGGTCACCCCGTGGTGCCCTTATAAAACTCAACGTTTAACCTACTCACGCCGGCTTGTGCCCGCCCTCACAGTCGGGCATATTTGCGGAATACACCACGCCGCCGTTGACCCTGGCCATTGACCGAGCAACCCAACGTTCCTACCAGTTCCCTCCGCAGGAATGTGTTTTAAATTTGGTTCGATTAAGTTGTTATTTATTTTAAACGTGCTGTAATTGCGTGTGTGTGTGCAGCACGAGTGGCTTTAAGCACAGGATTAAACGTAGCCATCTGTGCCGTGACTCCTGAATGGCAATGTCTTTGTCTCATCACAAGGTGCCAATAGCATAGCACAATTAGAATGTACAGTAATTGGGGGGGGAGAGAAACAAATAGAATAACAAATGCCGGCCTTCTTGCATGTGGCACATTTCCAGCACGGGCACTCGGTGGTGGCACTAGATTTGTGACGTTTCCACCAAATTGCCAGCAAATGACTCAACGGGGAATACACCCACAGCAACATCGCCCGTGCTGTCAAAAAAAAACACTTGGCAGGACGCTCCTGAAAAAAGAGTCACGGGACTCAGTCAGGACGCTCCATCGGTAAACAAGTATCATAATAATACATTAATTTTTAAAAATAACACTGGCGTCCACTACTGTCCCTTTGAGGTCATCTCACATACAGGATGGTGCCATCACCGTGTGGTCCACCAACCCCGCCTCGCAGTACACAGGCTTACGGGCGTGCAGGTGGTCACTGCAACAGTAGCGATCGGCCAAGTACTGGCTTGAATCTTACCTATTCGCATGTGTGTGTGTGTGTGTGGGTCAACTCAGTCAGTCAACCCATGACACCTGGGTCTGTCCCGTGACCTCTTGCCAGCGGGCGTACAACACCATCACGTGGCCTTAAAGTGCACGTGGCCTGGCATAGCCGCCGTGGAGACGTCACCACCACTTAGTGACGAATGGCGCTTGTTTGTTGTTGTGGGGACCTCCTCTCGACTCACCTTGCCAGCCATGCCAATGTTGAACTGCGTTGCACGTGGATTCTGAAGTGGTGCAGAGTCGCCCTGCAAAATGAGGAAGCCGTTGACAAATCTCTCCGAGCGAAATCAGCTCAAGCCCCCTGTGGATCACGTGACTTCTCCGGGTCCTCCGGTTTTGCCCTCCGCATTTAGACACGCGCGTTTAGGTTATTTGGCTGCTACTCGAGACATTCACATGTGTGATGATGATGATATAAGCCATGTCGATGAGCTAACATGTGTGGCCAGATCGCCTCTGAAAAAGTGCCAATAGCTCAGTTGGACTTTACCCGGTAAAATAAAATAAAAAGTTAGTTTGTGGTTATTTTACCAATACTTCACCACACTAGCCATAGGGGTTCTTTGACCACACACCTCACCACACCAGTAATGGGGGTCGTTTGACCATACTTCACCATGTTGGTCAGTGAGGTTTAGTGACGGGAGGAAAGTGTGCATGACCGGTTTCCGATATCACCCACCGCTAACTTTAGCCATGACCGGAAATCAAACTCAGCTGGGCGGGTTCGTAGTGCAGTGTGCGCTTAACGCGGTGCCACCGTTCCACCGATTTTAAATAATATTTTGCTGCAATTATTTTACTTTACAACAGGATGTCTGCTCTAATTTCCTCGCTCACTTTTCCACAGCCATCAGATTTCTCGGCTTGCTTGCACAGCCAGGCATATTTCTCAACGCGTGTAAATAAAATAACGTTTGCAAATTTGTGCAGAATGTTGCGGTGTTTGGATAAGCACTCCTATAGGGCGGAGATGGTGTGAAGCGGATTTTATCAGAACGTTTAAAAAAATAAATGCAGTCCGCTAAAAAAAGAATGTTGTAAAGCTGTACAGGCAACGTTTGCAATGTGTTTTCATTGTAAATAATTATACTTCCGACGTAATACTTCATTTTTTAATATTTGTCTTTCGTCAACTCTGTTTTGTTTTGCTGTGGGGTTTTTTTTTTGAGGATAGGAGAAATAAAATAAACACATTACCTTGGGTGCACCATCGCTCAAGATTTCATCCAGAATTCCTTTAATCTTTTGGCACACCTGCAGGGTTCACACCGAAGTTAGGAGCTTTAACCTCGCGGTGAAAATACCACGACTTCATGAGAAAGTAAATAGATGCACAAGCAGGCGGTATTGTCTGCTTAATTACTTTCAAGTTTTGCATCAAACTAGGACGTGTTATCGAACAGAGATAGGTCGCTTGCCTATAAGCATCTGGCAGTTCACCGACATTGCTTCAAGCAAGCTTGACAACTGATGGTTTACAAGTTCTTGGTTCTTTCGGTAAAGTCACGTAGAATGGAAATAAAATAATACAAATAAACGTAATAGAATCATTCTCACGACGTTTCGGCCACAACGCAAGCAGCCGTCCTCAGGTGAAGAACAGGTCTGTCGAGAAGACAGAGTCTGAATGACACACCCCAGGCTTGGAGCTCTTCCCCCTCCATCCCAGCTTAAATAGACGCTCCAAGCCTGGGGTGTGTCATTCAGACTCTGTCTTCTCGACAGACCTGTTCTTCACCTGAGGACGGCTGCTTGCGTTGTGGCCGAAACGTCGTGAGAATTATTTTATTATGTTTTATTTTTATAATTGTATTATTTCCATTCTACGTGACTTTACCGAAATAACCAAGAAGATTAATCCCTGCAGTCACGAAAGCTTTAAATCGAAATGATGGTTTACAAATTTAAAGTTTAGTTTGTTTCAGGTTCAGTTTATTTAACCAGGTGAGAATGCAAGAGATGACCCCAACAGTTATATTTTCAAGCATGACCTGGGTCACAACAATTACAAAGTCGATAAATGCAGCAAACATAAATTATAATAATAAAAACAACTGTGTTACATGACACATCGAACGTATTGCACAAATGTAAAAATCAATGTTGAAATAATACTTTCCCCATAGCGCAAGTTGGCTCGGGCAAAACATTTATAGACTGAGCATAGTAGAAATACAAAATGAAGTTATGGAACATTGCGTAGATATAGGGTGCCTCTTGTATTAATACGTAAACAGCCAAGGATGTCCAATGCATTTGCAAGTGGGGTTATCATAAAGAATCGACAGTCAAGGAACGTCAGACTTTAGGAGGCACTGAATGTCGAACTCAGGCCAGAGTTGTCTTGTATTGAACCAATGCTGCTGAACTGATGCACTTCCAGAAGGCCGAGTGGCTCATGGGATGTACAATAACATGCCTTTTGTTTTGTACGTGGAGGGACAGGTGTGGGGAAATTGTGCTTCCACGACATGCCGGTGATTGTGGTCCTTAAGCCATGGGCCCAGAGATGGTTCGTCGGTACCACCTAAGGTGGCAGATGCTAACAATGATTTCCTTAAAGCATTGTATCTCCCTATTACAAGCCTCTATGAAAGCAAGACCACGATGGTAGCTTTATCTGAGATAAAATTCATACAAAAGGTCACCATGGTATGTTTGACAGAGAATATCGTTTTGGTGTGAGAAAAAAAATGAATGTCATCTGAAACATCCACGCATTATTAAAATGAATATGAAGGGTCTCTATGACACGCTAAGCTTTACAGCTCATAGTGCACACTGCCCATGGTGCATACTGGTAGCATTTGCCACGCCAGCTGGTACCGACAAACCTGCTTGGCTCATGGGCCATACACGCGATTTAGAATGGTCCACAAGAGAGAGAACAGCATTGACTGTGAAGCCTACATTTAAACCCAGGCAAGTGCCTTCCCCTAAAATGTTGTAGCCTGACACACAACCATCCCATAAAATAACAAATAAAAAATTAACGTCTGCTGGGCGCTGTTTTTGACCAGTTGGTGTATATACACAATGATAAAAAAAATCAATGCGAATCGTTTAATAACTATTTGTCAGCACATTAGGGGTGATGTGGCAGTCCTAAAGTACGACTCGACGTCAAGAATAAACAGCATACTCTCGATTATCCGCGCTACATCGATCCACCTGATCAATGCGCGTGCTCAATGATAACGCTTTCCTGCTCCCGCACAGAAGACTCCGCCCACTCAGTGGACAGCAGCAGAGCCACGCCAATCAACATCACTCAAACTCTGCCCACTTTTTGTAAAAAATATGCAACTACTGTACTGTAGAGGCGATCACGTGGATTTCGGATTAACCGGAGCAACATATTTATTCGGTTAAAGCGTGTGACTTGTAATAAACATCTTCAAGAATAACAATGCATGACTGTCTTTAGTTTCTTAATTTGGGCTTCAGGGAAAATTCATGAGTTGTTAATACATGTCAAAATCTCAGGTGTGCGGTTAACCCGCAAATCGGATAAACCGCACTCGAATAATCGAGACTCGAGTGCAGTTAAAAAATGCAGTGTGTTTTCACTGGCAATAGAATACACATTTTGGGGGACGTGGGGCTCAAAGGGGGCAGAGGGGGGGGGGCGATTCCCCCCAACAATTCCCCGTTGACTCCACCACTGGAGTCTCAAGACTTCCTCCAGGATGGTTCTGCCTGCATTGGGGTGATTTCGATCAACCAGCACCAACAACAACAGCAACGAAGAACAGAATACCGTGCAATTGGAAACAGGATCATTTTGTGATAAGAGCCTATGTCAGATTCACGTGGTGATCGGCTTTGCCGGTCCCGCTTCACAGCCAATGGGGGGAGAGCCTGGGAGCATGGCCCCGGCGTGATCACGGGATGTCAGCTAGGTGATTGGTTTCGGTGGTCTTGGCCTCAGCCAATGGGAAGACAAGTCAGGGGCGTGG